CGTCGTCGTCGTCGTCGTCATCGTCGTCGTCAATGTCGACGTCTTCCGTGATCCGTGCATATTCCGGGGGCCCGGCTCCTCCACGGCGTTCTTCTTTTACGCTGGTCACGGTAATTAAGAGGCATCGCCGTTAAAAATCACCCTCGTCGCGCGCGCGAGTATTACGGGCCGCCGCTACGCCCTGTGGAATTTCAATTCGCCAGGGAACCTGTTCGCGGCCTGCGGGGCTGCTTGTGTTTTCACTTTCCATCGCGCGAGTACGAGTATTAATGACCGGAACTGTAGAGCGCTGCAGGATATGCGTTTTTTTGTGAATGCAGTTGTGTCTATATTAAGATTCGGGTGCTTGAATTTTATAGACGTTAAAGTGCGCGTTCTTTGATCTTTAATTTCTTAGTGTTACTAATAAAGACCAAACTGGACGATTCTTAATACATGTATGAATGAGAAGTATCTGAGGAATTTATGACTTTTCCATTCATTTGTGACTAATAGTCAGTATTCGCAAGATGATATAAAATAACACTAGCTTGTGAAAAATTGTTTTAATAATTTTAATTATTTTTAATGCATTATTGTCTATCGAACACAAATCCATTTTCCAAATTTAACTATCACGTCACAATTTTAAGAAAAACGGCTTTCTTAAAAGGGATAAAAAAAAAACAATTTTGAGAGAGCTTTTATGATATCGGCAGCTTGCTTTTTTGAAATTTTGTTAGTGCCATACATGTTAACTTTAAGCTTTAAAATGCATTTTGTTTTGTTTCGATAAGATTTTTCATTTTCAAAATAAGTATAGCAAATTGAAAATAGCTATAGAGTATTTTATCAATTTCATATTGTTTTTTTTTGTTTAGTACGATCCGAAGTACAGTATCACGTGCATGAAAGCACTTTCTATATAATGCAGTATTAAGACGAAATAAAATGCTTTTTCCATGGAATCATATGGAAAAAGAGCTATATTCAAATTGTTATATCATTAAAACCTAAAAATGTAAATTGCAGGTAAGTATAATTTGCAAATTTAATTGTCCATTAATTAAATTTGTTTATAAATATAATAATTTTAATTTTAATCTTAATTAGAAATTTCTTATGGCCAGGAATACTGAAAATATATAACGCGGTACAGATTTGAGGAGTCTAAGAGCATTTAAAGTGAGTTTTTGAAATATTTTTTGGAGTACAGAATTGTGTTATACTGAAACGTATAATAAACTCATGAGTGTTAAAAGAGGTGTATTTAATCTCTGTAGTAATATCGAACCGAATCACAAACGAAATCGTCCTACGATGCAATGATCCCTAATTTAGAGAGAGCGTTTCTCGTGAGCAGCTGGGTTCGAGAAATCGCAGATCGCTTTTTCAGCGACTGTTCGGCGATTTTACGATCGTGTTAAGGCGGAACGAACGGAGTCCACAAAAGTGCTCAACCGACTACAAAGGGCAGTATAAATCCGAGGAATAAAGAAGAAGGAGGAGAGAGAGGCACGTGACAATTATTGCACGTCAGCGTACCTTCATTTCGGAATAATTAAACGGGGCCCTTTTACACCTGCGGATCGCGCGTACCACGCGTATCCATGAAATCCGGCGTCCACCCGTGACCGGACACGGGGCTCGATCCGGGATCTCGATAAGAGATCGATAAGCGGGGTAACCGCCTCCGCTTCTTCTCGGCGGGACAAGACGAGAGAGAAAAAAACGGCCGACGTCACGACGAAGCATTATGCAACGCAACGAATCTGTAATTAAGATTTTTCGCCGTTATCTCAAGTCCTTCTACCTTCTCCTTCTTCGGAGCGCACGCTCGCGCTGTTATTAATTATTAATGAAGGGGATACGCGTGGTCATCATCATTTCCAAACAAAAGGGATTTATCGCGTAAGACGGCCGTCGAACCTGAGGTGCGTGTGCAGCTTTTTACTTATTAAACTTGAGAAAGATGTAAGAGATTGAAAAAACATGTAAAATATATTTGACTGTGTTAAATATTATACAATTTTCTGATAATGATTTATGAATAATATTTGTATTACATAACAAATATTATCAGAATATTTTAATTTAAATATTTGGTAAAATATATAAAATTTTTGTATAATTCAATTTAATAAAATTATGAAATTTCTTTGTATGCAATTTTAATTCGCTAGAATTAGTAGATTAAATTTTATGGTAAACTGACCAAATTTTTAAATTCTTTTTATAAGGATTTGCAATGAGTTTTGCGGTGCACATCGTTTACATTTTAATTCGATTATTAATGGAAAATTGCAACTTCGTCTGCGTCAAGTTCGTTATCGTCAGGGCGAAAGAATTATTAAACGACGAGATCTCACTTCACGCCTACTTGGGGTCTCAACAACGATAATCGCATTTTCGTCGATCGCGTATTACTTAAGAGCTCAAATTGCGTTGTACCCTGAAGCATCCGATCGATAATTCGGATCGAAACTACCGGTATTACATACATAAAGTTTAAAGGTGTTTCCACGTCGATGCATCTTATCTTGTATTTTATGATTTCACGGAATGGACGGTTTTGCTCTTGAAATATCTATAATAAAAAATTTGGCTACATACAGATTTGAAAATAATTTTGTTAGATCATCAAAATAATTGTTGGACAATTAAAATAATTACGTAAAAAGGAGGGGGGGGGGGGGGGTTCAAGCATATTACAAAAAGTTTGACATTCTAGTAATCAATTTGAACGTCTTTACATATAATTAGTTTCATGGGGTCCAATGAAATTTTCTACATATATTATATATATCTTTTTCCATAATTTTTCAAATCCGTATCAAATTTTTAGATAAGTACTTCAGCAAAAGTTTTCTTTCTGTACTATCACGAGTAAGCTGAAGTTTGTATAATATATAATTAAAAAAAATTTTTTTCATTAAAATTAGATGATTTAGTAAATATGGAAATGTTGCTCTTAATTATAGAGAAGTAAACATTAATAAAATTAAGTAAATAAAATTTTCCAATTAAAAGTTTATATTTTAACAATTAAAAATATTAACGTTTGTCGTTATATACTTATTATTTAACACAATAGCGTTTGATATAAAAGTGACATTTATTAAAAATCGTGAAAAATACATATGTAAAAGCGACACTCAATTTATACTAATGAAAGTAAAATATACACTGGATTTTCATTATTCTAAATCGAAGTGTCGCGTTTGCATATGCATTTTTCACGAGTGGTCAATTTGAATTACGATTCCGATTAATTACGCGCATAATAGACGATTCGTTAAGCGTCGCGGACGATGCCTCGGTTACGAAAGCGCGACGAGATAAGCGCGTGCTAACGGCGTGCGTGTGGACGCAGCTGCACGTGAACGTACGGGGCCCTCTCGCCTATCGAGAGAGCTCCTCCTCTCATCCGGACGTCGTCCCTCGAGGCTCGTAGAAAGATATACCTTGAACAAACACGTCGGAAGAAGAGATCCTACCGGGCGGGACCGTGCGTATCGTTTTACTTTCGCTTTATCGTGACAAGGCGCCGCCATTGCTCCTTGCGTGAATTTGAGGAGCAAGCCAAAGAAGAAAAAAATTATCTTCTTTTATGAAAGAAGGAAGATAAATCTATAAAGTGTTACTTTCGATGGTGTAATATTATTACTTTTAAATCACTTCGTGATTTCCATCTCTTCAGAAATATTTTATTTTAATAGCTATGTCAAATAAGGCAAATGAGAGTCAGGCGCGGTAATCGGTGCGCAATAACAACAGTAAAGAATTAATAATAGTAAATTCTTACATAAATGTATTTAAGTAATTCAATGTTCACAAATTTCGAATGTTTCGGCCGCACTTTGGGCCATCTTCAGCGCAATACATATAAGTTTCGCCAATTATACAAACGTAAAGATCTCCTTGCAATCTTAGCCACAGATCGAGTAGCCGCTCTGATGTAAGTTTCATTCAATCATATTTTATTTCTTTTAAAAAGAGATCGCGTCGATTAATTAAAAATTATATATTATATTTATAAATAATACTGAGCCACTATTTCTTTTCTTTACTACCCATTAAAAATTAAATAGAACGCGTTTACGTAACATTTTGATTATTAATCAAATCTTTTTTTTCTTTCTGATTATATAACGTAATCGATAAACAAAAATATATGTATATTGATGCGTAACACAATAAATCACGTTATCAATAAATTTCTTATTTCTTTCTTCTTGCTTGCTGCATAATAGATGACATGAAAAAAGCAGCAACAATTTTGCAATGTATTTACGATGTAAAGGCCTTAAAGGTAAAAGAA